CCACGTCTTCACATCGTCCGCATCCCTCTCAAGCCATGCGGCTTTGGCGCTGATGGCGTCGATGCTCTGGGACAGCGCCATGTCAAAGCCCTTGGTGCTCTTGCCCTTGAAGAACGCCTCAATGTCCTCTATGTGTTCCCGGTGGGTGAAGCCTGATGTTGTAATGGCAACCACCGAACTTAGCATGCTCAGGCTAGGGGGGAGCCTTCTCTCCAGCTCCTCCCAGTTATCCTTGACCCACTTCCAGAGCGCATGACAGCCCTCCGCGTGTGACCTCAATGCTGCAATGGGCAAGTAGATGTCTTGGCCCTTGACTTCGTCGCTGAGAGCCATGGCAAGCGTGCGCTGAATGAGCTCTGGAGACTTGGCACGGCCTAGTGCGCGAAGAGCCGAGTTGCGCTCGTCGCTTGTGGCGGCATTCCGAGTCTCGTTGACGATGACATCGTACTGCGTCTGGTCAGTCTGCATTCCATTCATCCTCGTAGCACTGCTTACCTCTTCTTGCCCACCATTCGCTAGCACAATGGCATACACGCTGCCGCGGATGTTGGGGTGAATGGCAGACTTGTCGCCTGCCTTGAACTTGTCGAACATGTCAAATGATGCTTTGGTAATCTCTTCGTCGCCAGCGATACCGGCAGCACCAAACATGAGACCCTTGAACTGCTGCTCGATGTGACCGTCTTTTTCATTGAATGTCCATCCCAGCTCATGTGCCTTCTCTGCGCTGAGCTCCAACTGGAACTTCTTCAGAGCGTCCCGGATCTTCTGGTCCTCAAACATCCATGCACCCCGGAGGGAACTAATACGACCCGTGATCTCTCCCCAGACGACAAACTCTGCTTCGTGTTTGAAGCTGTCAAGGAGCGAGAGTATACCAGACGTTTTCTGGTAGCCAGATGCCGCCAGCGAGCCTGCGTCAGCAATCATGCCAGCTCGATCCTCAACGGTCAAGAGGCCCTCCTTGGCCGAGATGCCCAGCTTCCGTAGGCGCTCTGGCGTGTACGAGGTCCGGTAGAGGCCAGAGTGGTCCGCATTAAGCTTGAAGAAGTCGAGTTCCTTGAGCTTAAAGTCGGCTTCACGATCGAAAAGCGTCAAGTCTTCGTCAACTCCTTCCTTGGTCCGCAGCGCAAGGAATACGGGGTACAGGGTTTGATCCTCCTCTGGCTTGACATCGGCAGTGCGGAGGAAGCGGTTCTGCTTGAGGTGGATGGAATCAGTGCCTTCCGTGACGGTAACGACTGGGAAGCCGACCTTCTTGGTCCAGATGTCCATGACCTTGCCAACATCCTTGCCGCTGGCATCCGCTAAGGCAGCCCAGAGGTCACCAGTCTCTGTGTTGCCATAGGCGTGCTTTTTGAGATACCGGCGGATTCCTTCCATGAAGGTGTCCTCTCCGACATATTTGGAGATCATGCGGATGACACTCGAGCCCTTGGAGTATGAGATGGCATCGAAGATCTGGTTTATCTCGTCTGCGCGCTTTACCGGTACCTCGATGGGATGGCTGCTTCGTAGCGAGTCGAGCGAGAGTGCGCTGGCTAGATTGTCTGTAACATAGCCTTCCCAGACTTTCCAGTCAGGGTAGAAGACATTGCAGGAATACCACGACATCCACGTTGCAAATCCTTCATTAAGCCACAAGCCGTCCCAGAAGTCCATGGTCACGAGATTACCAAACCACTGGTGGGCAAGCTCGTGCTGCACCGTCTCGGCGACGCGCTGCTTGGTAGCTGCCCCGCTGACCTTCTCGTCAATGAGCACGTCAACGACACGATATGTGACGAGGCCCCAGTTTTCCATGGCACCTGCACTGAAGTCGGGAATCGCGACCATGTCCATTTTGGGCAGCGGGAAGGGACTGTCAAAGGTTTTTTCGTAGAATGCCAGCGTCTTTGCCGCCAGCTCGAGCGAAAAGCGGCCGTGCTCAATGTCCCGATCCTTTGGCGCATAGACTCGCACAGGGACGCGGAAGTTGTTCGTCTCGATGTAGTTGAGCTCACCGACAATGAAGCACAGGAGGTAGGTCGACATGAGAGGCGTCGGGCTGAAGGTGACGGCCTTGCGCCTTCCGCCCGAGATGGTGCTTTGGATCTGTTTCTCCGACGCTACGTCCATGTTGCTGAGACAGGTCATCTTCTCATCGGCGATGAGGGTGACGGAGAATTTGGCCTTGAGCGCGGGCTCGTCGAAGCAAGGAAACGCCCGCCTGGCATCTGTGGGCTCCATCTGCGTCGTGGCCATGTACGTGGTGGAGCCGTCGGCAGCCTTGAAGGAGGAGCGGTAGAAGCCGGCCATGTTGTCGTTCAGCACTCCGGCGAAAGCCATGGTGAGCTTCGCCTGGCTACCGCCCGGAATGGTCTGGTCGAAGCTGACCGTGGTCGTCTGCGCATCGTCGTCGGTGGTGACATGAGGCGACTCGGTAATGACTTGCTGGCCGGCCGTAACCTTGGTCGAGTGGATCTTGAGCTCGTTGGTGTTGAGGGCAATGGACGTGGTGTCGTCGACGACATCTAGACTGGCCGAGTGTCAGCAGGGCCCTCCTCACACGGGCGGACGGGCACATACTCGATGGTGACAGTGCCCTGGTAGGTGAAGTTGGCAAAGTCGGGCTCGAGTGTGAGGTCGTAGTGGACGGGCTTGACGTTGGCGGGCAGCACCTCGCGACCCTTGGTGATGTCGATGGACGCGTGGCCCTCTGCGCCGAAGTGCTTGCACATATTTCGTCGGTGGGAACAGTGCCTTGCGGGGACAAGGGCAGGGTGACGGGAGGGTGGTGGGGGACGAGGGACCGGGCGAGGGCTGTTGGTGGGGGGAGGAGAGAGTCGCGCGTTCGGTGTGAGCGTGTGCAGTAGCGTCCGCCGTGGCTTCAGTCGGCGGCTGGGAGCGGCCAGAAGACGTCCATGGTAGGTGAAGCGGTGCATCTGGCTTCTCGTGTGCTGTGTCGCGACCTGTCCCCTGCGCCGCAAGAGCTCGAGGTCCTCCAGCGCTCTCTTCGCGGCCAGATGCAGCCTAGCTCGCATCGGGGCCGTGTCCACTATATAAGCCAGGCCGACGTCGCGTTGCGTTCCGGCAGCACGCAAGAAGCTCGACGACGTCTCCCGCTCCTGGGGACGCCGTGTGTTTTGGCACTGCCCCGGCACTGCCAGTCTTGCTAGAGAGAAGCAGCCCTCGTTTGAGCCCTTTTGCAATTCCTGCATGAGCGAAAGGGTATAGAAGTAGGGCTACATTGCTGCGTATCACGGACGAAGTCTCTTCCACGCGGGACCCTCTGCACTGCCTGCCATGCCATGTGATGCCGCACTGCCAGTCGCAGCCTGCACCTCTCGAGTACACTCGCCTTCGCATGCAAGGCGATGTGCGAGAGCAAAATACAGTCCGGAGGCGTCATGGCAGCCTCGTCCAATGATAGCGCACGTGATGTGGATTAGTTAGCTTGGAAATTGGAAAATGGTCGCGCACCAGTTCTCCGCCGCATCACCATCGCCGACAACCCCATTGCTCGCGTCTCCCCCAGCCCCGAGCCAGCTTCCCACGACCATGTTGGCTCGCTCACCACTGCGTACGGCACGCTCCGCCGCCGCTGCCGCCCGCAATGCCTCGAGCAAACCGGTACGCCTCCCGCATGGCCCAGCATCTTCCGGCAGCTGGCGCAAGCCGCGTCGCCGCCCTGCTGGCCCGGCTGCCATACTCGGGCCAGCCCCCGCTTCCATTGAATCATCTGGCTGACCCAGTGCGTGATACAGCGCTTCGCCTCGACATGGTCCTCCGCCGACAGCGCCGCCTCGGCCTGGAAGAACAACGCCCTGCCCGCCGGAGCGACTCTCTTCGCCGTCGGCTCGACTGCCTGGTACTGGCACCTCTACGGACGCCACGTCGATGCCATGACCCCCGCCGAAGAAGGGTGAGTGCGCCCCAGATAGCCCGGCCCGCGGCCATGTACTGACGTCGTGCCTGTACAGCCTCCACCCGACCCAATACCCGTGGGAGCACGAGAAGTGGCACAAGACCTTCGACCACGGAGCGTACGTCTTCCCCACCGCACCGCACATGCCCGCCCCCTAACCTGTCACAGTCTCCGCCGCGGCTTCCAGGTCTACCGCGAGGTCTGCGCCTCGTGCCACTCCATCTCGCGTGTGCCCTACCGCGCCGTCGTCGGCAAGTTCATGACGGTTGACGAGGCCAAGGCCCTGGCCGAGGAGAACGAATACGACACAGAGCCCAACGACCAGGGCGAAATCGAGAAGCGCCCCGGAAAGCTGTCCGACTACATGCCCGCTCCCTACAAGAACGACGAGGCCGCCCGCGCTGCCAACAACGGTGCCCTGCCTCCGGATCTGTCCCTCATGGTCAAGGCCCGCCACGGCGGCTGCAACTACATCTTCAGCTTGCTAACCGGCTACCCCGAGGAGCCGCCTGCTGGTGCCGTTGTCCAGGAAGGCCTCAACTTCAACCCCTACTTCCCCGGCACTGGAATCGCCATGGCCCGTGTTCTGTACGACGACTTGGTTGAATACGATGATGGCACCAAGGCTTCGACTTCGCAGATGGCCAAGGACGTCGTCGAGTTCCTCAACTGGACCGCCGAGCCCGAGATGGACGACCGTAAGAAGATGGGCTGGAAGGTTCTTGCCGTCACCAGTGTTCTGTTCGCCCTCAGTGTCTGGGTCAAGAGGCAAGTATTTGCAGCTCCGCCACTTTACCCACATGACTAACAGCCACGACAGGTACAAGTGGGCCCCGCTGAAGACGAGGAAGATCGTCTACCAGCCACCGCCAAACAAGAGCATTCTCGACCACGTCCCCAAGCCAAACACTTCCGGCAAGACGAACCAATAGACGGAGAGGGGGTCTGTATTTGCGCGCTTCAGGAGACCCGGTAGCGGAAGCGTGTGTTTTATATCGTGTACATTGCCAGGTGCTTTTAACAATGACATTTCTTTGCGTCGTGTCATGCAATCTCCTATTTTGGATTTACTCATCTCAGACATGTTTGTTCATCAGTCTTCGTACGAGACGCTTTTCGCCAACAAACAAGCTTTGTCTATCCCGTGCCTTGCAACCTCTGACCGTAGCTCCACTTCCCCAAAGTAATTAGGTTCGCTAACTTGGCTGAAGCCCAACGTTTTGAACAGACTGAGGCTCGGGATGTTGTCCTTGTCGATTCTGACACGGAGGTAGCTCAGAGACTTGGGCTTGTCTTTGTTGTTGGCTCCCTTCGCGTACTCGTCCAGGATGGCTGGCAGCGAGGTAGATATGTACCAGATGAACGCCTGTAGGGCTTCTTTTGCTAGCCCTTTTCCTCGTGCGTCAGGCCGGGCAATCATTATCTCCAACTCGCCCACCGCGTCCATCTCCCCAGTCTCGTGTTTGCCTTGTTCCCCTGCGCCATCGTTACAGTCCTCGGACGGGTACAAAAACAGGTTCACATCCCCAATCATACGATTGGGCGTGTCGTCTATCTTGCCAATGACTCTAATAGGTATAGAGACATCCGACAGTGCTTGCGGTGTGTGTGGCGAAGTGCAGATGATGAAAGTCAACTTATCTGCATCCCGTCGCCACGAGGACTGCATAGCGTACTCCTCCGAAAGCGTCAGCGGCTCAGAAGCTGTAAGCGTTTGCAATTCCTACACACTAATCAGCCGTATATTAGGAGAGATAGGAGGCTGGGTAGGCCTTACCTCATCTTGCATCCATTCGTGGTATGTGGGGACATGGTGCAAGCTATAAGGCACAAGGATCAGACGAGGTGTCAAGATGGCTAGATAAAATTAGCCTCGTAGCATGGGTTCAGATCTTTTCACTACATGCCTTCGCTTTCGTTGACTCTCATGGCGCCGGCAATCAAGCAATATTTTTCTTTGGTGATCGATGTTGTTCCTGCATCGCAAATCAATCAGAGATTGCACAGGCGGTATTCAAAGCTGTAAAAGCCAACTCACTAGAATTCTTGCACTACAACAAATGCACACCTGCGTAAAATGGACGTCGAGTTGCGCTTGATATAGCTGTTATCAACCTCTGTCTGCTCAGTCCACGTTATAGGAAAGTTGATTTGGCGGCAGTGTAACACCAGCGACAAACTGCAGACTTTCGCATCGCTTAAAAATTGCCCGGCATGACGTACAATTAATTATGATATACCAGACGTGTATATTTGCTATGCAACGATAATGCACGTTTGGCATTACAAGCGTTTGATGCGAAGCGGGAAAGCGCGGCGATCCTCGGACGCGACCCGCTTCTATCATGTATCCTGCTCTTCCCGAGGTCCACCGCGACGTCGACCGCCAACGACTACGGCGCGCAACCACAACATACCAAGTTCTATGCAATAACATCCGCGATAATTTCCATGCGCTGTAATGGAGCCAACACGCGTTCTGGTAACGGGTGGCTGTGGCTTCCTGGGCACCGCCGTCGTCTCCGCACTCTTGAGCACCCGAAGATACGCCATCACCGTCATAGACGTTAACCCGCCTTCGCTCGGTAGCACCACCTTTACCAACACTGTACGCTATGTTCGTTGCGACATTCTGGACCCATCTTCCTTGTACAGCGTCTTTTCCGAAGCTCGACCTGCCGTCGTCATTCACACAGTGGGTGTGTTCCCTCTGGGGACGAAGCGCTATTCCATGAAGGGCAAAGGGGCCATCTTCAGGACAAACGTCGAGGGAACAAGGAATGTTGTCGAAGCAAGTAGGGAGTGCGGTACAAAAGCCTTTGTGTATACCAGTAGCGTGACTGTCGTGTTGGACGAGTTGGATCGCGACTTCAGGAATGTAGATGAGCATTGGCCCACGGGAGGTGTACATACGAGCTATGGACAAAGCAAGGTAACAAAGTTTTACTCTATTCACGTTCTCTTTCCTATGTGCAGAGAATACTGCCGATTCACCGTTGCTCTTCCTCCAATTTGTATGAAACCTCCCTGTACTGCTCTAGCCACGACAACGCACACTTCACCTCCGTACTGTATAACCAACTCATGCATAGCAGGCACTCGCTGAATCCCTTGTGCTCTCCGCAAATACGAATGACTTCGCCACCTGCGCCCTGCGCTCAGCACCCATCTTCGGTCGCAACGACACTGTGTGCATCCCTACGATACACTCATGCATCCCAGCCGGCCAGACACCCTTTATTCTAGGCACAGGGACCAATCTCCAGGACTTCGTCTACGTAGAAAACATAGCAGACGCTCATGTCCTCGCCGTTGGAAACTTGTTAAATTCGCAAACAGCTGCTGGAGAGGCCATCTTCATTACCAACGGCGAGCCGGTCACGGCGAGGGATCTTTGCATAGCTGTGTGGAAAGAGTTCGGCCATGTTCCAAAGTTCCATGTCCGGGTTCCAGAAGGATTGACATGGTGTTTGGGCTATTGTGCCGAATGGATTAGCTGGGTGACAGGGACGGAGGGTGTGCTTAGTCGGGGCATTGTAAGTGACGGATGTCGGGACCGCTATGTTAGTATTTCGAAGGCGAGGTTACTGCTAGGATATAAGCCTCGAGTCGGCTTAGAAGAGGGCTTAAGAATCAGCTGTCAGGTAAGCACACAGAGACTAAAGAGTGAGCGAGATTTAGAGTGTACTAACACGAGTAGGATTATAGAGCAAAATTAGAAGAGCGGAAGAGAAAATAAGCTAGATTACCGTAGTCTAGAGTAAGTTTAGGTACATTGCATAGGTTAATCGCTAGACTGTAACATACTTGTAACTTTTATAATTATTATAGCACGTCTGTGTAAGGTGTACAAGCTTGTAAAATTAAGTCTGTGTAGCGGTTACTTAGATCCTATGTAATCGCAGCAACGCTCTCTTACATATTACTAATGTCTAATAGAAAGTAGGTCCCCACTCCTTCACGTAAGCACCCTTAATACAGCCTAAGTTTATATCAATACAAGCCTTAATTAAAGGACATCGCTTGGTCACTAACTGCCTCGCCTATGTACACATTGCCATTACGTTGTTTCATAAGGTAAGGCCGGGAAGCTGTCAGACAGCATCAAAGCAAAGAGCGACGCCCGAGCTGCGGACCATCAGCGAGACAAAGGCTGGCTCAGACGCTCAAACGACGGCTTAGGCCTTGCTTCAAGTTGCAGCTCCTGCAGACATTGCGTTGAAGCTTCGTGTGCACATTGTTACACTATCACACGTACTCGAAGTAGAACGCAAGTAAGTCCTGATTCCACCATAATCGGTCTTCGAAAAACAAGCCGGCAACGCCATTCAAAGGGACACATTGGAGAAGGCGGATGTGAGTGGACGTGAGCTTAGTAACCTTCGTTATTCCATATGCCCGGAACAATGTGCTGCTAGCATGCTGGTTGAAACTGCTGTCACACAACTCGGTTCTACTCATTTAACCACCTAATTGACAACCTCTTCGGTCTCGTCGATAATCTCCTCTACGATTTCTTCAATCTCTTCCTGATGTCCATCATCCGCTTGACCAGGCGTCTCACCCTTGAGAGATGCCAGCTCAAGGTCGGCGCCTTCATCGCGTAGCCTCTGTGTAACTTCTTCGCGCCACCTGCGCCACTCATCCAGCATCTCGCGGCGAGCTTCCACCACAGCCTTGTTGGCGGAGCTCTTCTTCGCAATATCTTGTTCATCAAAGACCTTGGAGTAGTTGCGCAGATTCTTGCGGATTTCGGCTTGTTCCTCCTTGGAGAGGAGGGTCGGGGGCCGTGGGCGCCACAGGAGCTGCTTGAAACCTTCGATGGCTTCTTCGCGGAGCAGCGTGCCTTTGAAGTCGTAGAGGTGGTAACCGTTCTCCATCTAGTGCGTGTCAGCAGAGACAAAAGAGCATAATGGTGATGATGATACATACGCGATGACGGAAGGCACTAGCGACTGTGGCGACATAGCGGCCAGTCGGGTCCCACTCAATGTCGGTGACGCCGTAGTGCTCGGCCGTATCCATGAGCTGCAAGTTGGCATTGACTTCCTTGTCGCCCTTTTCGGACTCCTCCTTTGGCCTGTCGAAGCTCATGTCCCAGAATTCGAGTTCGAATGACTGCTGCGACTGTAGAGCAGCGACAACGACGAATCGTCCCTTGGGCGACCAGTAGATGGCATTGCTGTTCTTCTTGTCGATGGTTCGGATGTGACGGAAGTTGCCTGGCGCGCCACCCTTGAGCTTCTCGGGAGCGAAGAAAGAGACGGCAGTCTTGGGGCCAACAGCGGCGCCCTGGATGACTTCGCCAGTGGTAATGAGCACGAAGCGGTTGCCCTTGGGCTCCCAGGCGAAATTGATGACAGTGTCCTTGATGGAGTCAACGACCTCAACAGGCACACCCTTTTCGCGGACACGGAAGATTTCCAAGTTGGTGGCGAGAGACTTTTTGGACTTGGAGTGGCGGTCGACCTTGACGCAGACGTAGGCAGCTTCCGACTGCCAGTGAAGCTTGGCGTCTGACACGTTGAAGAGGTTTCGGGTGCGCACAATCTCCTTCGACGGGACGGACATGAGGCCGACCTTGGCGGGGTTGCTCCCGAGCTCGGGGGTCCAGTAGCAGAAGAGCTGCTCGTACGTCTTGATGCCTTCTCTGCGGGGCGTTGCGGGGGCCCACTCAAAGTCCATGACGCCCTCGATCTTGACGGAAGTCTTGTCGAGCAAGTTCATGCGCGGCAGCTCGTAGATGGAGATGGACTGGCCCTGGGTCATGCGTGCAACATACTTGTCGTCAGAGGACCACTTGAACGTCGGCCATTGCAGCTTCTTCTTGACCGGGTTGCCCTCGGCATCGATGCCACCAGGGACGTCAATGGTAGCAAAGGAGCGCAGAGGCTTGCCCGTGGCAATGTCCCAGATGATGTAGTTCTTGCCGTCCTCCTCGAGCGAGAGCGATGGGACGGGGTGGTTCTCGTCGACCTGGAGGGGGCGGTGGGACCAGGTGGTGAGGTACTTTTCGCTGGGGGAGAAGTCGACGAGGTTGACGCCGGGATGGGCGAAGCGCTTCTGGCGGCTCCAGGCCTTGCCGCCCCACAGCTGGACACCTTGGGCGTGCATGGAGGTGAGGTAGGTTCCCTGGGGCGACCACTGGATGAAGGACTCGGTCCAGTTCTCGCGGTCGACCACCTGCTCGGGCTGGTCCTCCTTGTCGTTCCAGAAGACGCCGACCTTGTCCTGGCGGTACATGGCCATTTGGTCGCGGCTGTCGGGGTCGCCGAGCCACCAGCGCAGGTGCTCCTTGTGCTCAAAGGGCGGGATCTCGGGGGCGTGGTACTCGTCGTCGATGCGGCCCTCCTTGCCGTAGCGGTCGATGTCGGTGAGCTTGTTGACGGCCATGGTGTGCCTCTTGTCGAGGGCAGTCCCGTTGAGCTGCTTGACCGCCGCGACGGCCTCGGCGGGCGCGCTGTATTCGACAAAGGCATATCCCTCCGTCTTGCCCGCCTCGCCGACGGGCATGTGCACGCCGTCGTCCTTGACCTTGCCCACGCTGTTGAGCTTCCTCAGCACGAACTTGACGAGCTTGGCCTTGCTGTCCTCGGGCACCACGGGCAGCCCGTCGATGACGACAAAGGCGTCGAGCCCCTCGTCGAGCCGCACCTGGAACTGATCTTCGATGTCGGTAAAGTCGATCTGGCTCTCGTCGAATTCGTCGTCGCCGTCCATGGGCAGGTTCGAGTATGCCGAGGCCATGGTTGCGGTGATGGTTGCGGTGATGGTTGCGGTCG